TACTAGACATAGATTAAGCAGATCAAATATTCAAATAAACTCAGTGGTTCGGCGTTACGTAGTCGTCATTAACGAATGGTGATATTGTAGAGAATTGGCAAGCAGGAGGTGATTCATCTGTATTATAGGAGTTTAACATTCAGGTTATCAACTGAACTTGAATGTTTTTAGTGGTCACATAAAGGAATGAAGAATTAGCGAGAATATAACTGAACGAAAGAAGAATTGTTAAAGGATGGTGCTCGTATCGGTAGATGAAATAAATCTTCAACGATTGTTGGATCGTACGAAGCGATTGTGCCGAGAGAATTCAGCTGATAATATTTGGAAGTTGAAAGCGGCAATCGTTGAATTGGAAACAATTTTCAGTCGTCTTCAGGACGATAGGTTAAGAGTTATTTATTCTTATCTCGTTATCGTTGAATATCATTTCACGGAACCTTCTGGCAACAAGAAATATTACTGGCTCTCAATAATTTTAATATGATATAAATTCACAATTGGTAATGGAAGTTGTGACCACGAATTTATTAATGATTCAGGAATCTTGATACGGATTTATTAATGCAATATGGACGTGACGTTCATCAGATACGAATTCTTGTCGAAGCACAGCAGAAAGTGGGTTTATACATCCTCTGATTATCTGCGTTCAGTTTTAGCAGCAGATTTGCTTAGTATTAGTGAGTGATACCAAATTTGAATCAAACGCCACCAATTTGACAACCGATAACTTTCTGTAAATATACTTTCCAACTAATGAGAGCTTTTTTTTTNTATTTAAAGAAGACACCAGTGGAGAGGTTACGGTGGATTGAACTGATCCCATCGGCATTCCCAACTTCAGTGATTTCAAATGATGATTTCATGGCAGAACCGACACAGTCCAATTTGCTCATTGATAGACAACTGTCGTCGCAGTCAACAACAGACTCAGGTTCTATAAGTGTTGATATGCTCAAAGCGAAGAATAAATCCGTTTATATTGCCGATCTACGTAAGCAACTTCTCGGTGGAACACAACGGTTTGTGTATTCGCGAATTATTGTCATTTTATAAGTATGTTCAGCTGCATGAAAAGTTTCGTAAAGCGCTCTCCATAATAATGGTTGTCTCCTTACCAACCTCATTGTGTTTGTATTCAAATTATTTTGCACTGAACTCAACATTGTGATAACAGAATCAGTTTTCCAAAATCCAACGATATGTAAGTGCAATACTCGCTTTCAGTTGTTTATGAATTGATGAATAAGATTACTAAAGTTTATTTTGAAACATTCTACGTTACCATCTAATGTACTGTTTTTTTTAAATTTTATTCATTTGATTTCTTGTTATTTTTACATGAGCCAAATGAATTCTCAAAACTAATAAATGAAAGATTTGTTTATTGAAGAGAAATACGCGAAAGTGGTGAAGATGTTCTGCATACAGAAGAAATGAAGCAAGAGGAATTAGCCGAGGAACTGCGTGCAATGGCCATATTGATGAAGCAGACCTACAGCACTGCAGGAGATGTTATCAAACAGGATAACGTTGTATGTCGTTTCATTTCCTGTCCACTCTGTTATTATTTTTATATTTGCTTTTGTTAAATTTATGTTTATTACTGAAATCATCTCTTGTTGTCTATCGCAGTATTCACGCGTGTTTTGGTGAGGGTTTTATCAAAATTATACGCATTGATGAATTATTATTTTTGTGAAAGTTCTTCGCGTTAATTTTGCTTTCTTTTAATAAGTTAGCCTGATTCGAATAAATAATTCAAAAATCAGCAGCGCATTTCATGAATCGATGGATAAAATTTTCATTTTGATTTTTCTGCATAAGGAAATAATTTTCACCTGTTAAAAGTTAATTTGATTGAAACAGTAATTTTTACAGACGTTGACAAGACTGCAAGATACGGCTGAACTGAACAGAACGAAACTAGAAACTGAGAGTCGCCGCCTTGAAGAGCATGCATATCGATCGTGGTGTGATTGCATGTATTTGATTGGTATTTTCGTTATCGTCGCATCTTTCATCGCTATGGTTCTCGTTATGAGAGTTTTCTCGAAGAAATATTACCATTAATTTAATGAACTGCAATTGGCTGAAAGCAGTTCGTTTGCATAATTTGTTTGAAGTGTTCGTGTTGTGATTTTTCTTGTGATTGGTTAGCGGTGTTATAGTGAAGTGATTAATTTGTGATATTTAGTTATTTCACGAAACGATTGCACCTTAACAACAGTGAATACACGGTCAAAATTTTCCACTTCTGAGGATTTGTTGAATCGAGAATTGACGATTCTCTGTTCAAAAGAATTTAAATTTGGAATGGAATTAGTCTCTCAATTCAGAAAACAATTATATCTACTCTAATATGTGATAAATATGTATTATATATTTTGAAATATGACGAGATTTATGGTGATTCAGAAAGCGTTTTATTATTATTTATCGTGTATTATAATTTTTACAATAAATGATGAAATGTGGAGAGGAGGAAAAAAGATTATTTGAGAAGAATGTGAAAATTTGTACAGTGTAAATGACAATACAAGAGTACACAACTGAATAAGTAACAAACAAAAAGTACACTTTAACTAAATAAAGTGAAATGTTTTGTACAAGAAAGGTTCATCATCACAAATAAATTGGGTTTCGATTCATAAACATGTACTTCATTGCTTGGTCATGCCATCATCGTCACTGAATCGAAAAGGAAACAAAAATCACGCTGTTGATTGATGCTTTACGAAATGACTGATCCTATCAACTACAGCGTTACGACTGTTATCAACAACAAATGAAATGTAAACTTTTACTGAAATGTAAAATGTAAACTGTTATCAACAACAAATGAAATGCAAATGAAATGTACTTCCTTGTGCAACGTCATTTGATAACTTCAATAACACACACACAAAGTTGGTTTGGAACGAAGAGGAGTGTTCGCATTTGATTTTTAGGGATCGTTTTTGGATAAGTGCACAATGAAAGATTTGAAAATAAATAGGTTTTTGTGCACTAATGAGTTTTATGTGTATGGTTTGTTATGTGTTATCGTAGAATAGTGCAGATATTCAGTGAGAGGTGCATTCTTGATTTTGGTGTTGTTATTTTTGTTATGGCAGTTGGAAATTTTAGATAGTTTTCAGCTTTGTTTTGGGTTGTTTTCGCATTCTTGAGTGAGTCCATTTGTGCTATTCGACACATATCATAACAATAGTCTGTTGAGTTTATTTTGTCGAGCAAATTCAACTTCTTTGAAAGTTGAAGGTTCATTAAGTTCAAGTCGAGAAAATTCATTGCTGAAGATTTTCCTGCCGGTCATCTTTGAGAATTTTTTCTGGCTGCCTTGAAGTGCTTGTTTTCGTGGGATATGTTTTTACATTCAAGAGAATTTGAATCAGGTCGTGAATAAAATGGTTCATAGACAAGATGCATTCTCTACTTGTCGTGAGTATGATGAGCATAAAGAGCTGTAAACATTGCACTTTTCGAATTCTTTTCGAATTCCCAAAATATGC